TTCAGATTGATTTTTTTTCAGCAACATTTATTAAAGTCATCTCCTCCTCTCCTTCCACAGGCTGACACCCTAAATATGTGTTCAATCAAAAGCAATATCTGACCACAGGGTCTCTCCAAACTCAAACTGGGCAAAAATCACAACTCAGTGCACTTGGGATACCACTGCTGTGAGGGTGGCAACATCCTGAGACTGATGTAATATTCAACTGACCTTCCAGAGTATTCTTATCTTTTTAGGTCAATCTGTCCGTCTACATTCAGTCAACTGACAGTCTGAAATATCTTCCAGATACTTCCCTTTTCCAACTTATCTCTGGTTATCAATTCCACTAAGCCTTTTCTAACCAGCTACTGCCTGGGTGTCAGTTGTATGATATCGATATAACTTGAATTGAGTGAATATAGTTTGCTAATTTGTCAAACACATGTATTTGATAAATTTATTTATTGCTTCCAATGCATCCTGGAAGTTATTTAGTGAGTGCATTAACTATTTCAAGACACCACATCATAGGTTTATTTGGCTCCCATAAAAACTATTAAGATATTTGTCCTGGCCGGGTGGCTCAGTTGGTTGTAGCATCATCCCATACACCAAAAGGTAGAGAGTTCAATTCCCAGTCAGCACACATACCTATGTTGTGGGTTCAATGCCTGGTCAGGGAGCAAACAGAAGGCAACCGATCTATGTTTCTTTCTTTCTCTTTCTCTCTCTTCTCTCTCTTTCTCTCTCCCGTCACTCTTCCTTTCTCTCTAAAAATCAATAAATATATTCTCTAGTGAGGATTTTTTTTAAAAATCAAAATTATTCAGACATAAACTTTATTTTTTTTTTCATTTGCAGTCGGGATTTGTCCTGTGTTAATACAGTTATAATATTTTTATTAGCCTCCTTGGAAACTAAGGTTATGATGGGCCAAATGTAAAAATACAGTTTGTTGCAATGGGGCAATGTTTTCTGTTTTAACAAGACAACTGAGAAGTTTATAGTAGATACGATTCTCAATGTTGTCATTACCAACAGTATCTCTAGAAAACACAGTTAAACAGCCCAAACAATTTGCTATCACAGAATGACTCACAAATAAAATTCCCCAAACTAGAAAAATGCTTTGGATCACTCAGCTCTAGGTATTTCCATAAGTATACACATTATCTAGGGTTTTCATTGTGATCCTTGATGCTATGTTTAATCAGTTACCCTAAACCTTATGGGATAGGAGTGCAACAAAATTAATAATGCCACAAATGGATACCAGTTGATGTTCATCTACTGACTTTTGGTTTTCAGTGATGCTTAATTGAGTAAAAATAAATGTAAGATAAAATTTTAAAATTCAAAGAGTATTTTGAAGAAAAAGTGTGAATATAGATAACTTTTTAAAACTCATTAATAAAATGGATTTTAAAACTTCAAAAATATAGATATCTCCAAATGTATATTATCCATCAAAATAGGTGACATAGTTGCCTAAGGAAGTACACATTTTTTTATTTTTTGATGCTGCTGTATTATGAAAAAAATTTTTCAGTCATTCTTTCAGAAGTGTTTTCAAATAATTTACATTACTGTAATGCCATCTCTGATATGGAATATGTAAGAAACATACAGGGAAATTTTCATTTTTAAAATATTTTAATAACATTAGAATTACTGACAGAGGGTAGACAAGCAGATATAAATTAAAGGATAATCTCCCTTACTCAACTCCCCCACATACACAAATTTTAGCAATTATGGAGTTAGTTTGCTGAGCAATACCCCAAGATAAATGGCAATTAGTTCCTAGGTCTATAGCAGAAACTTTTACACTTAAGTACTGCACACGAGTGCCAAGCTGATTGAGCACAAAAGGAAGGAGATTATAGTAACTCTAGACAACATAATCCATACATTAAAACAAATATTCTCAATTACAAAAAAAATCTGAATTTCATACTCAGTTTTCCAGCCAAGAAGTAGAAGAGTGAAGGGGTTGACTAAATACTTCAAAAAAGAAAGGTTACAATGACATATGTCTAAATCATGTAAATATTAGGTTGCAATGAAGTGATTTCCTGAGTTGCCTATAACACAATTTTTATTTCCTCTTGAACTTAGCTAAGAAAACAGTATTAATAAAGAATACTAATTTGTGTGCAGTATGAATGGTTTTACCTCTGGAAATATAAGCAAATAAAGGGATATAGACTTTTATGCTAGCCAAGTTCCCATTTGGTCTTTGAAGTCTCCACTTATAATTGCCCTGCTTTAAAATATGTACATATCATTTCCAATTCTCTTCATGTAAAATGTTCAAAACACACTTTATAATCTTACACTAACTCTTATGTCTATCTCTTTTACAACTTATCAATGTTTTATAACTAAACAAAAATAAAGTGTTCTTTTCCCCATAAATTCTTCTACAAATAAAAATAAAACTACTTTAGGCTAAGAAAGGTCATGGTTTACAAAGTCAAAGCAATGAAATTTGAAGTATACACTTGTGGTTCTCGGATTTCAGCCGGCATTGAAATCAGGACCTGAGTAACAAATGCTGGGTCACACCCTCTGCATTTCTGATTTAGAAAGTCCAGGACACTGAGATTTCCCAGGTGAGGATGATGCTGAGGGTTAGGGGTTTCCACTTTGAGAACCTAATTTCTGTGATACATAAGACATATTTGAAAAGTTATATATAAGTATATTTTTTCGCCCACCTCATAGCTGTGACATTTATAACCAGGGATGCTGATTACTTTTCACACAAAGCTGATTCTATTCTTACCTAAGTTACTAATAACCACATCAATATTAAAATAAAACAAACCAAAAAAACACCACCGCATCCATCACAAGGACCAGTTCAGTAGCAGAACTACCTCCTTCCTTATTGTTAAGCAACATGGGCATAAGAATACTCAAATGCAATTTTCTTATTGTCTTCATTCCTATATCTTACCCTTTTCCACTACCCAACATGAGACCTTCCAGGACAAATAATCTGAATTACAAAAAGTAACAGGAAATTGGAACTATGTCTTTCTAATCCAGACAGTTCCAGCCCTATTACTCCTCCCCGCCCCCGCCAGCCCCAATCTTTCTCATTTACTATTATTCCCTATACACACACAATAAAAAAATAAAAACTCCTTTTGTTGGGATGATCTGAGCCAGTGGAAGAGAAATGAAGACTTGGACATGGGATGAAAGGAATTCAAATTCTCCCACACTAAGGAACAGCTCCTTGAGAAGGCTCTAACTCCAGCATTCCTCCATCCCTAGAATCTTGGACACTCTCAGCTGCTCCAAACACCAGAGTGTGGCTGAAGGCAAAAGAGCACTAAATGAACTGCTGCTCTGCTTGAGGCCACACCTCCTACATAAGCCAAGAGGTAATATGTGCCTGTAGTCTCAGCATCTCTTTCATACATACACACACACCACCACCATCATAATCACCATCAAGCAAGCTCTCTTCCATTTAGGAAAGAGGGAGTGGGAAAAGAAGGGAAATTTAAGAGGCTTAGAGTTGGGGAGGGCTGTTCTGGCCACCTCCCAGCACTGCTCAGCCCTGGGCAATACACAATGAAGATGGTAAAGGTCTGATCGCCCTCATACTTTCGCAAACACCTACCCATGGCACACTCAGTGGTTTCTCAGAGAGTTTGAGGACCCAACGTCCTCTTGTACCCACACCCACTCCTCAGTCCTCAGTCAGCTCAAACACTTATGCCCTTTGTGGGTTGGGGGGGGGGGAGTGTGTGTAGGGGGGGGGGGGGCGCATTCATTGACCTAGCACTGCAGTGCAAAAATCCAAACCCCAGAGTGAGACAGTGGGTACTGGGCTGGATTTCCAACACGCAGTCTCTGGATATTGGCGGGAGGGGAACCGTGGGTGAGGTTTGGCCTGCTGTCCCTCAGGGGCTGTTCTCCCAACCTCCTCCCCGCACCCCCCATACCTGGAGATCACAGAAGTTATTTTTCCTTTGTGGCACTGCCTGCTTGTCCCAGGAGATGCCCACTTCTGCCAGAGCGAGGGGCTGTGAGTGTATCTTTCTGTCCTGAAAGCCAAGGGTGCCAACTGCTGACAGGCAAGGGAACCTGGATTTGCTCTTGAGGACTTAAAAACCTCCTCATCAACAAGCTCGCCCTTCTCCCCAGTCCTTATCCGCCCAGACCTGGGCTGTTCAGAGAACTGAGACTGTGTTCTAGTTGCAGTGAGCTGGTGTCCTGCCCCGGAACCCAGACGCGCGGACTTGGCGGTCCGTTCATTCATGCATTTGCTCATCCATTCACACAAACATGTCCCTTAATTGTGTCTGGCACCGAGAATCTTGCCTGCTATTTCCTCCTCCCCAAGTCAGTGCTCCAGGCAATGGCTGGTGCATAATGCAACTCAACAGTCACCCCACTTCCTAAACTGGAAAATCAAGTCTTGTAGGCATATTCTCTCTCTCTCTCTCTCTCTCTCTCTCTCTCTCTCTCTCTCTCACTCTCTCTCTCTCTCTCTCTCTCTCTCTCTCACACTCACTCTCACTCACACACTCTCACTCTCACACACACACACACACACACACACACACACACACACGGGGAGGAGAAGGGGAGCGGAAAGGGATGGGGAGCTCACTGGGGTCACATTCGGAGCCTCCATTTGGGGGAAATCGCGGCACTGCCGAGGCGGCAAGCGAGGTCCAATCTTTATTAAATCAGAGACTGCTAGAGCGCGGGTCCCCAGCAGGCATAAATCAAGCGCACAGCCCCTGGTTCGCAGAAGTGCGATGCTGCGGGCTCCACTCAACTCGGAACAGGAGCCGAGGTGCCGTGGCCGCGGCTCGCAGCCCAATCCGCAGCGCGCTCGCCGCCTCCTCGTCGCTCCCGATACCGTGATGAAGTGTAAATCAAATGCCACGCCGGGAGGGGCCGCGGAGCGCGCGAGTCGTGCATTTTCGCTCACCAGCCTCTCTTGCCTAAGAACCACAAGGTCACGATAACGTCGCGATTTCACTCACCGTACACTCCTTGGCCGGAGATCCCCTCCAGGAGGACTGTCAGCAGCCACACGAGACCGTACACTAAATCCATCTTCACGTGAACATGGACATATCCAGCCCAGGGGGGAAGCAGCGGGACCCTCCGGAGGCCGGCGGCCAGGCGAGTGCGCTCCTTTCGCTCCCGGGCTGCGCCGACGTGCCCGGGGACCGGTCGCCCAAGGCAGCGCCGTCCGTCTGTCCTTCCCCGGCGGCGGCCGTGAGCGGAGCGCAGCAGCCCCACACACCCCACACTCATGCACGCACAGACACAGAGACACACACTCCCACAGCACAATAACCTGACACACACTCACATGCACGCCTCTCTCACGCGGGGCGCCTGGGAAAATCGCAGGCGCCGAGGAGGAGCGGGGGGCGTGCAGGGAAGGGGAGCCAGAGGCGAAGTGTTCTCCGGCGGAGCGGGCTCGGTCTCCGCAGCCGCGGCGGCGCGCTGGGCGGGCGGCGGGCGGCGGGCGCGGGCCAGGGGCCGGGTGCGGAGCGCTGCGAGCCTGGCGCGGGCGGCCAAGGAACAGGAAGTGGCTTCTGACTCGGGGCACCGAGCAGAGGTTTCGTCGCCTGGGTTCGTCTTTACAAAGTAAGTCGCGAAGGTCCCCGGAGGAGCATCAAGCAGCGGCAGCGGCCCGCCCGCCCGCAGTCCGGAGCCCCCAGCCCTGCTGTCTTGCCTTCCCCCATTCCATCAGTTGCCATTGCAACGCCAATCCGCTTACACGATACAGGCTCGCATCGCTGAGCTGGGAGAGGAGGAAGAGGAGGAGGAGGAGGAAGAGGAGGAGGAGGAGGAGGAGGAGGAGGAGGAGGAGGAGGAGGAGGAGGAGGAGGAGGAGGAGGAGGAGGAGGAGGAGTGGGACTAGGGGGGCTGGGGTGGGGAAGAAGGGGAAGGAGGAGGGGGAGGCAGAGAGGGACCGATGGAGCAGAGTGTGCGTCTGGAGCTCTCTTGGGCACCAGCCTCAGCCTCAGCCGCCGCCGCCGCCACCGATCTCCAAAATAGCCTTCAGCACCCGCCCGCGAAGAGGGGCCTCCGCCGGCCGCGCCAATTCCGGGAGCCGCGAGCAGAGTCCAGCCGCCGCCACTTGCGAGAGGGAGAAGCAGAGACCGGATCCGCACACACGTCCACGCGTGCTCACCCGCACCGCGCGCGTCCTCTCCGCTGCCGCGCCGCCCCCGCCAGGTGGAGGGTGGGGGCGGCCGGGACCCGCGGGAGTTTAGAGGAGGGAGCCGCAGAAGGGGTTCCCCGCCTGGGCTGGCGTAGAGCTGGCGCCCGGAGGTGAACGCGGGAGCGGCCCCCGAGGAGGACACCCGGCTTCGCGGCCGCTGCTCGGGCCCCCGCTGCGGCAGAGGCTCCGGGCCGGGCGGCGGAGCGCCCTGGGCTCGACGCCGGCTGGGATCCCTGGGTGGACGCGGGGCTGAGCGCCTCGGAGGCGAGGGCAGGAGGAGGGTGACGCCGGGAGCCGGCGGCCGGGCGCCGGAGGGGAAGGCTGTGTGCGGTCACGTTGTGCGCTACGTGCTGGGAGCGCGAGCTGCTCGCCGCAGCCGGGCGACGTCAAAGCCGGGGCGCGCGGCTCGGTCGCCGTCCCCGCGGCTCTGCTCCCCCTTCGCTCTGCCTCCCGGTGTCCGCCGGGCGCTCGTCAGTGTGGACAGCGCCGAGAGGCTCCGCGGGCGGCGGCGTCCGGCCTCCAGCCGTCCCCGCCGGGCCCTCCCCCGGCTCCCCGCGAGCTTCGCGGCGGGGACGCCCGAGCTGATTTCTGAGCCTCTGTGGGCGTTTGCTCGCGGCGGGCCGGCGACCACCCAGGTCCCGGGTCATTACGGGGCACACTGTCGCTTCCCCGCCGCCCAAGGTCTTCCCGGGCCCGTTCTGCTGGACTAGAGAGCAGAACAGGCCACAGCACTAGGTAGCGGCTTGGTTTCTTTCCCATTTCTGTCATTTCTAAATGAAAATACGGTCATCACAGCGTTGAAAGCTCCAGGGCAGAAAACATGGGAATGCTGAGCTTGGTTTAATATGCACCGTCTCGTACTAAAGTTAACTGCTTTGAAAATCTTTTCTCTCTTGTGAAAAACAGTCTCATTGGGGCAGAGGAGCTTAAGAAACTCATAGTTACAAAGGGATTAGAAAATGTAACGCATCTTTAATTTTAAAAGGAACTAATGTAGAAATACTTCACCAAAAATTAACAGGGAAAAACTGGAAATAGAGTAGTGGTTTGTGATTTGTTTCTGTAGCCACAGTAATTAGTGCTACCTGTGCGCAATCCACTTTGTTGAATATACTCTATTCCTTACTAATTCAGACAGAACTGGATAGGGAGGTGATTAAAATAGCTACAAACGTGTATTTATACATGTGTTACTAAAATAGTTGCTATGGAAAACCTGGCGTATAATATTCATTTATCTGCTTCCATATTGACAACACTGCAGGTCCCTCTCCTCCTACTTTTGCTGGGGGGAGGGGTCTCCAAGCACTAGAAAATGAATAGCCCCCACGGTCCCCTCTAAGGGCCTTTTCCCCCACTTAAGCATATTACAGTTATTGGGTATGATCTAGTGTTTACCCTCTGCGTTTACAAGATAAGAGGAGCGAAGCATGGTGAGGGTCCCGAAGGACGCGTCACATAGTGTTGAGACCCCATCCCCTTCTTTATGAAATGCCACTTTCAAGTAGATGGAATTAAGTGTCACTCTAGGAGCAAAACCCAATGCATGGCTTTTCTGAAGGTGAGTGAGTGAAGCTCACTCATTGGCACCTCTGTTGGGGGAGGGGGGAGGGAATTGTCATGTTTCTGGAAATCTGTCTTTTAAAAGCAGATCATTCCTGAATGCTGCAGCGCAGCAGCTTCAAGGGGCAGTAAACTGCAACTTCGCTCTCAGCTCATGGCTCAGAATGAATCTTGTCCACCAGGCCCTTACGTGCAGATTTTAGCTGTTCATGTTCTGAAATAACACTTCACCTCCATGTGTGTACTGTCTTTTATTTTTCTTTTCATTTTATAGATGGAATCAGGGGTGTGTGTGTGTGTGTGTGTGTGTGTGTGTGTGTTTCAGTGACTTCAGGACTCTAAATTAAAGTCTTTTATTATTTTAAAAAAGCAGTGCATTACTTTGACAGAGGAACCCAGACTAAATGAGAGTCCATAATGGTGATTGCTTTTCTTAACCTTCAACATTAGGACATAAGCTTTAGGAACGCAGGGCCTTTCTTTTCCATGTAATGCACATTCCTGTCCTGGAAAAGACCATACACCCATGAAGCCCTCAGCAGTTCCTGAGTGAGCAATCTAGAGCTGTATAGAACTTAGACAACCCAATCATTTTACAATTTATTTCAGTGATAAAACAGCCAGGTGTATCTACTCTGGATCAGACCTTAGCCTAGATATTGGACATTTAAAGACATATATAGGATAGAATCCCTTCTTTTAGGAAACACACAATCTAGGGGATGTTGGTCAACACATGCACCACTGCATCTATTGACACTATAATTGCTATATAAATTAAGTCCCAGGCACAAGAAGGCAACATTTTCATGCAATCGTTAATTGGGTTATAGGGCAGTAAGGATAAAAATTGCATTGCATTTAATATCTTTTTTTTTCTTCCTATAAAAATATTGGGTAGATTACTTACAGAAACAATTGGCCAGTTCAGTCTACCCAATGTTTTTCTTTTATTTGGTTTGCCTTGAAATTCAACATTTTTAAGGCTGTCCTGACCAAAAACCATGATATATACAGCCACACCTTAGCACTAGCTAGTGAAGGCCTCCAGGTGGTGAGCCTGAGCTAAAGCTTAAGGACAGGCAGAGAGATGCTTTAGTAGAGAGAAGGGGAGGAGCTCTAGAAAGCAGGTCCAAATGCTGTAATGAAATCAGACCCAGGACATTCTGTGTGGCCCAATTAGAGCAGTTTCCCACAGGAGCAGTGTAAATAACTGTAAGGATCACCAGCTTCTTGGATTTTGTATAGTGAATATGGATGTTGCATGGAATCCAAAGGAACTCTGCATTCCATTACTGTCAGGGTCCACTCAAGAGTATTCTTCTGTCTCTGATGAGAGCAGCAATGGGCATTTTACACTAGGATTGTGAAAATGTAGGGGCTCTCCTCTGACAGCCCTAATTACCTTAATAATCTGTGATAGTTATATTGACTACGGTTTCACTTTAAATTTCTATCTCTATCTTTCAGTAGGAGCATGATGTTCCACCCTAGGTAGCATGCGAGAGACAATATCATGGAGGGAATCACGGCTAGTGCAAGATTCCCCCAAGGTGATAAGATAGTAACTCTGGAGATAAAATTGAGTAGGCAAAATCAGAATATAGGTGGCAGATCTGTCCTTTCTTTCCAATCTAGCCTCTTCCCACAAAGCAATACCGGGTCTTATATATTACTTATGGCTACTACCTGTTCCCCTGCTGGCCCTTTAAATCACACTGACTCTCATACACACTACTCACTTTCCAGTTTATAAAGCCAAACAAGAATGTAAAAATCATCAGTGGTGAACAAGAGATGTCTCAGGAATTGTACACCCTAATGGTTGCCACATACTTCCTTTGCTTGCTCTATTCTTGGTCTTAGATTTCTGGCTCACATCATAGCTTACTGGGACTATATATGGCCCACCCTGAATGCTTAGCTGGCTGCATATCTGGACCCCCAGCCTACCTCGTTTATCCTCAGGATAAATCTACTTCTAATATTTCCAAAATCTGTTAAGGCAAGCTTCATTATTCTATGGCTCAGACATGCACCTGAGACCCCAAACTATTACTCCCTTAACCTCTGCCCAAAGGACCAGATCTCTTTAAAGCTTACCAAGATTATAATATGGTTTGATTAAACTCTAAATGGAACCATTCCTATTGGGTACACAATCTCCTGTCCTGGTAAATTTTCTCTAGCCAAATGCCTGTCACCTAGTTTTATTTCCTACTTCTTAGTAATAGCTTCCAGCATGCAAGCTTAGAAGTCTAAGCAGGATCACACAGAACCGGCTGTTTCGGAGGATAAAGAGACATAACTTCCAATCAGAGAAACAGAGCAGAGCACTACGGAATTCCAGGTGCTGGTCATTTTTAGGATGCAGGTGGGCAATGGGCAATTGCTCGGAGGCAGCAGAACTCAGACACTGGTAAGTAGGAGACATAGGTTTTGGGAAACAGGATTTTCCCTCAACAGGGCTTTGGGGAGGAAGAAAAAGGACAATGAGAAAGGCAACTGCTAATAATATAAATAAGGAAGCACATCAAATCCCCATTGCATGGACTGAGGGATGTCAAGAAGAGACACAAGACTTGAGGAAGCAACAAAATACCCAAAGAATAATGCCTGGAGGTAGCAAATCCAGCTACCTCCAAATAATGAAGGAGGGTCTCACTACTGACTAGAGGCTTCATATATGGATATGCATGAAAGGAAGGCAAGATAATTTGTTACCAGATGATGGGGCTAAGGTCTCAGACATAATGTGGCTGCCAGTGAGGAGTATCTGAAAAACCAAGAAAAGTAGAGATGGAGGCAAAAAACTGAGACACAGGCTTTGTTATTCTTGATACTCTATCTTCAGCTTAAAAACAGCAAATTTCTGAGTTTTTCCTCTGTGATAAAGAATTCTTCCTCTCATAGTTTCTCCTTTCAAGACAGGCATGCTATTCTGTAGTTCTGGACTTCCAGGATTTCGTGAACCACTCATGTT